AGAAGGGGGCCGGAGCGTTAAAGCAAAAAGGAGCTGACTCTAATTGACCGAGGTCACAGGCATTCCCTGTAAAGCTGTGTATCAGTGGCCGGCCAGCCGGACCCTGGGAGCTGCCCAGCATGCTTAATCAAACAGTAATTACAAACAAAGGCGCGTCGGCCCGGGCGCTCCTGCGAACTGCTCAGGGCAGAGGTACTCCATCACGCAGGTCCTTTTTGTTTGCAGTGGATTCAGGATTTCAGACAATGACGCAAAAATTTTGTTGGTAATAAAAGCAAACTTCACATTTTTACAAACACAGGAGAAAAACCTATTTGACTAATGCAATTAAAAAGCTAAGAAAATATGTTTTTTCAATGGATATAAATGATTCTTTATATCCACATGTGCTATAATTATATAGCAGGAAAACAAAGGAAGAGTATGGCTCCTTAAATTTGAGACAAAATAGAACATTTTAATTTATTCAAGACCAATGTCAAAAAAATGTATAATCACATAGTTAAAGCTACTTAAAGAAGATTTTTTACAGAATTAAACCAATTGAAACAAAAACTTAATGGTTAGAGCATACCGACAGAATAAAAAGTGTTTTTAATCTTAAATGCAAAATAGTGATATATATATATATATATATTTTTTTTATAACGTTGCTATAGTTTCTGCTAAAAGTGGGTTGCCTTGTTAGCTAAAGCAATGTTTTCAAGTCTTTATACTCCAGTTAACAATAAAATCGATTACTAAATTAGTTGATGTTTATTTCAATAATCGATTAATCACGATCAATACGATTAATTGTTCCAGCCCAACCTTGGATAATTAAATATTTAAAATATATATAGTAGTATAACGGCCACCAAAAAGGTGGCACTTAAGCTCCCCTCATCTTAAACTGAGCTTCAATAACTGTAAGCTCGTAGCCAGAGGTATATCTGCACTTTACGGTCTAGTCCAAATCATGATCTTATGCTAGTTGAGAATCAAAAGCATGATCTAAAACCAGATGCTCACAGATGTTCTCTATCTAATTTGTCTGAGCCGGAGCCGTCTTTTAATTTCACATCACAATATTAGTTTTTTTATAAAAAGGCAAATTGAAAACAATGTCCCAACATAAAGTCCAAAGAGAGTGAAGACCTTTAGAAAGCCATTTATAATCCTTGATTTTAGATGCTTTGATTGTTATGTAATGTTTTTTACAGCAGCCAGCAATGAGGGATATTTTCCAATAAATCTGTCTGGATTCAGAAAGAGATGGATGTTTTTGTCCTTCACATCCTATATTTGTGTGTAATAGAGAGGGGGAGAATCTGTAGAGATGTCGGCTCCTTTAACGGGTTGAATTTTTTGAGATGAGAAAAAAGATCAAGATAACAGAGCATCAAAGACGGAAACAGTCAGTATCACTTGGCCTGGCCAAAAATGCAGCCTCAGCTAATCAAAGTTCTACAGAACACCACTTTCTCCTCAGGCTTGTTATGAGAGGGAGCATCCTCACCCAATATAACCCCTCAAAAGGTCGAGATCTGTTTGCCTATCTGTCTAACCAGAAAGCAATTTTCACCCATCGACTGCCTGATGAACGGCTAGCGTGCTGAGGTGCACCAGGAAGAGCGCCCCTGTTCCATGTGAGACTGAGACCACTGGACTGTAAACAGCTGAGGGCCTCTCTTTTTGGCCCGTCTGGGTGAGCATTAGAGTACTTCCCGCCGCCACCAGCAACAACACGCCACAAAGGGAGCTCTGTGACCAACAACACTGAGGTGGCCACTGTCTATTTTTTTTCTCCTCCTCCCCCCAAATCGAGTTTTCAGTGTCTCACGAACTTATTTTCCATGCAAACTTCTTTTCTTTAAAATCCCTCCCTGTTTTTTGGAGGCCCTTTTTCTTGTCTCTGCTGGTCTTCTCAGCGGCCCCTACTGAGAGGACCGAGACAGACACTCCGCCCAGCCAAAGGTTTGTCTGCCAGTATGGCCAGCTTTACTTTGGGACAAAAGCACACCGACGCTGCCCACACCGCCCCCTGCCCCTTCAAGAAAAAGAGAAAAAAAGTCTAAAACAGACTCCTTCATTCTTCCAAAGTGCTGTTGTTTGCACTTATCTTCCATATCCCTCGTGTTTTATTAAGAAACCACTAACTTGTAGCGCCCTGTTGTGAACAGTAGGTGCACCGCTAACCTTGGCCTCTTCAAACACGCCTTTATCTCTACTTAGGCTGAACTCAGAAACGACATCTATGAAGAAACAACATAGGCAGCTGGTAAATGCACATTTTTTAAATTACATCAAAGAGATCCCAATAAACCAATTAATGCACTTTGCATAAGAGCTTTTTCTTCATGCATCACTGGAAATTAAAAATATCCAAATGTTCTTAATTGAACCACTTGTAAAAACACGAGACGATTCGATCATATTCCAAGTATTGATGAGGATGTTTACTCTTCTAGAGTATAAAATGAAATCTTTGTCTTTTAGATAAGCTCTTCTGATCAATCTACATAACTTTCAACTTTAGCAATGACATCCACAGAGAAGAAGAGACTGCGATAGCTGCTGTCCCTCCATAGGTCTCTGTTACACATCCCTCTGCACACTGTGCTCAAATACTCCCTGACAGAGGTCTATTTCAATTCTTAGGCTGTTCTGGAAACAAAGACAGTAAAATTACCCTCTTAAAATGTTGCCTCATGATTAACTGGACACACTGAACAGTCTTATTCATAATTTCTCAACTGTTTTCTATTTTCTCAGCCTTGAAGAGGTCCACTCTATGGAAGATACTTGCCATCTGTAGCCTCCTAAAAGGCTTAAGCTCCTAAAGTCTACTTTTGAGTAAGATGGCTAAATATCTGAGGCCACATCCAATATCAAATGAAAATACCATTACCAGGATTTTCAGCTGAAAATGCCTAAAAAGCCCTCTCCAAATTCAAACCTTTATAGCTCTTGAGCCATATGGAGTAAAAATAAAGTTCTGGGCTCCATGTAAAGAATAAACTCTCTAGTTTTCACCTGTACATTCTGATTTACTATAAGTAGACTGCTGTGTAAGTGACATGCTTCATAAAACAACTCTGAATATTAAAAAAACAATTCTCGCCTAGATTCTCTATGTAAAAATAATTAAGAATTGTACTCCAGCAGGCCAGGAAAGAACTATTTGACACAATAGAAAAGGTCTTATATCCTGGCAAGCAACCTTCCAAATGTGATTGGTATATAGGCGGGTTGGTGGGAACTCAAGGAACCTTTAGATATTTAGTAAAATATGTGCTTAATAAAAGATGAAAACTATTAGCAATCCTCTATATGTCTCATTTTAAAAGGGCTTGTATTTTCTGAGTGAAAATCTGTAATTCAACGCTGAATGAAGTCCAACTGTATCTGCCTGGCTGTTCTAGAAGCCCAAATCTGCATCATTCTTAAATCTGTCACAGACCACATAAAAATCACATCCAGGGCTGCAAATGGAGTGTTGAAGTCATTTGCTTTACTTTAAGTATATAGCATGTAAAATTACAGGCCAAAACTCACAACACTTAGGCTATAAAATCCTAATTTACAGCCGTCCCTCAGGAATCCTTTACCTACCGTGGAATTTTCACCTCATCGGTTAAATGTGCAGCAGATAAAACTCTAAAACGAAATAGATTAAGTGGATACAAGTGTATAACAAGTCAAATGCCAAACTGAGGTCAAATACCAATCTAAACATTTACAACTTTGCAGGTTACACATGAAACAATGACTTCCCATGGATACACATGGTGTTCTAATTCTAAATCACATTAAGTCAAAGGAAGCTACAAATAAATAGTCTGAACACCAAATTAGCGTGGCTGGTGGATGGAAGACTGGTAAGCTATTTTAACAAGGGAAGGAGCATGTTAAACATCAGTTCTGCGTAATTCTAGTTAACCAAGCAGTTTTTCATCCATTCCAGTGCTTATTCAATCTTTCACAGCTAAAAATTAAGCTCAGAAATTTAATGTAAACTGCAAACGCTAAGTACGCAGGACAGTCAGTTAAAGTAATATAACCCCTGTTACTCAAGTTATGTTTGCCTCATATTAAAGTGTGTTTGCTGATTTGAAAGCATGAACCCCCAAAAAAGAAAATATAATCGAATGTAAAATCAATGATTCTTAAAAAACAACACTGCCATACACACAGTGGAAATTGTTAAAACCAATTTCATTTAAGCTCAAGGACAAATATGTCTTCATAGGACATAACTCTGGCCTCTCGTTTGGTTTGTGAAAATATGCCCAAGGCAATAAGTGTGGCTCAAAGAGGCCATTTATTTGCTGGCCTGTCATCCATCTAACACTCTGTTTGACCTGTGAAAGAATAAAGTTCAGTTCACACATTGGGTGATACAGTTAATGATGATCAAAGCCGATATTCAGTCATTAATAACCCCGGGTAAAGCATGCTGGAGACAGCGCTACATAACGTGTCCTACAAATATTTCTCTCCCTCTTCGTGCATCAGCGTAATAATATAAAATGTAAAATAACAGCAATGTTTTTATGACCAACTTTAATCCCCACTGGACCGTAATGAAAAGACAGAATATAGGCATAGATTTGATAGTAAAGAACACACTGGAATCAGGAAATGAATATGAATTTTTTGTTTTTATTGTTGTTCTACCAACTACATTTTTCCCCCTTTTATATGAACCTTAACCTAATTTGAGCTTTATTGCTGCAAATATGCTGAATCGCTGCCTAAATTCCTTTCAGTAAACTATTCAGCAGTTGTAACAACAAGTGGAGCAGTTTCAGAAGTAATGATGTGAGCGCTGAGCGAGCACACCACTGACGAAATCTGCTAGCGAATTGTTGTAAAAGCCTACTGTCCCCTGATTAAGAGACTTTCCAACTGTTTACCAAGAGAATAATTGGTAGACGGCAGATCACACAAAAAACAGCAACAGAAAAAAAAACAAAAATCAGCAGCTATTTGTCCTGTTGAACAGGAGGGATCCTTACCAATTTCTCATCAACCGTAATAAGTTGCGTGTCTTGCCCAGCTTTCTCTGCCAACCTCGATGCTGATGTGCTTGCAGACCTGGAAAAAATAAAATAAAAAATTGAATATACATTTCACTCAATGGTGCACAACAAAGCAGGGAATTACAAAAACCAGTGGCATTCTGCAGCCACTGACAGCCTTGGAGGAGATGGCAGGGTGAGGGTACAGTAAAAAGGAAGGAACACCCCCCACCACCACTACCACCTATTAGTTCTGTCTGGTGAATCCCTGGCAGAGCCTCGCTCTCATCCTAATGACTGGACGTGCTTAATGTTGGCTGTAGATGACTGGCTGGAGGGGACTGTGGAGCTCTTTGTCAAAGTGCAGCCGCATCCTGACACTAAGCGGCGGATGGCCATCGCTATTCAGCCAAGCAAGAGCACATTCTGGGTAACGTCCCAAATGTCAAAATATGACCAAGACAATTTGTATAAATACTGTGCACATTAAAAAATGTGAAAGCCATACTGCGCTTAATGAAACTCACAACGGCAGCGACTGTTAGCTCTTGATTTTTACTAGGGCTGTAAGTATGGATTATGTTGCAAAACGATTAATCTGTCCATTATTTTTTCAATTCCTCGATTAATAATCAGATAGCCAAAGATTCTTTAAAGATTTTTTTTACTGCACATTAGATTTGGCACTAGGTTTGGGAAATTGATTGCAATTTTACAAAACTTTTTGTTTTTTAAATCACAGATGCACTCAATTTTGGCCATGTTAAATTTAACAGTGAGTGAGATGCTGATTTTCTGGCTCCAGCTCTTTAGGTGGTGCTTCTACACCTAAGGTGAGCTTGCTGCTACACATATGGGACTAGAGATGAGCAGCTAGCATGCAGATCCAAAGCACTTTGCTCACACAATAGTAACACTAAAGTCCTGGGACAATGGACTCTGGACAAGCAGGGTTTAAGGTCATGAAAACAATGAACTCTCTATATGTACTAAGGAAAATTAAAACTAAATGATAATTACAATATAAATTTTTAGAAAAAAAATCATTCAGCCCTATATCGCACAAGTGGGATTAGCTTTTTTTCTGTGGACAAACATACATTTGTTGACATTAAAGCAATAACTGAGTATGACTGAAACACTTTACCAGTCTGTAATAGAGCTGGCGGACTGCCGTCATCTCCACTGTGCAACCCATTTAAGAGCAGCCCACACATTTATAAATAAAGAAAAAATATTGGGAACATTTGCAATTAACGTATTCTTGTAGAAGTGAACGTTAGAGATTTGTCATGTGGTGATGATTCTGGTGGCTCTCTGATTCAGGTACTGCCACAGCAATTCATTACAAATTACACACATAAGTGGGAGAGTTTTCATGGTGGATGCTCTACCTCACGCAACCAAGAATTGAACCCAGGTACCTGGTATTAAAGATACAGCCTTATCTCCTAAGAGATCCAAGTTTTTCTTGCCATCTTTTGCCAATAATCTGCCTGAAGGAAGACAAAATACAACCTTCCCTTCAACACAAAGAAATCTGCCTGTTTGAGAGACAAGAGCTGCATGTATGTTAAATAGCTGTCTGTATGTGACTTTGTTAGCAGACAAGCTAATTGATTGACAAGCTGGACAAGAACACCAAAACACATTAAAATAAGAAAAAAGCAAGTTTGCTTCAAAAGATGACAGTTCGGGTTCAGGAATGGTCTAAAAACACCCAACTCTGACACTAATCTACAGCCCCATATACACTACGCTTGTATCAGACAACAGTGCCAAGCTCGGTTCCTTATGACCGTTTACACATCACGTTAGCATGGTTCCTCACCTCCAGGTGACGACCTACAGTATTACTGCTCTCTAGAGGGAATCAAGCAAATCAACATGGCGGCACCCTTAAGATTTTGGTTATAATTGTGATTGTAATTTCGTTGTTTGCGGCGAGTCAGGTGAAGAAGGCAGCCTTTGGGGAATTTACTTGACAGCCGGCTTTTGAGGAGTGGATACGACAAAAGATAGTCTAATCAGGTGTTAAAGAATCAGGAAACAATGACAGACATTGAGGTTCATCACAGTGCTAAGCAAAATTATCATTAGAAATCATGTGGCACGGTAGCGAGGCTAGCATTTTTATGAATGTCTGAAATTTTATGATTACGGAGGCTGACTGTAAGGAGATGACGCGGTCTGCTGTTATCTGAGAACTGAGCCACAACTGAACCCCGTCGATCTCTACTGATGAACTAGAACCAGTTTAGCACGGTTCGGTTGTCTGACACACTCTGGTTCAGTTTTGCGTGCCATACACACTCAACAGTTATCTTAGTTATCGTTGTGGGACTGATCTTGGCACAGTTTCAAAAGGGTAGTGTAAATGGGGTATATAGAGGGCTACACCCTGGATATGTTCTCACAATGTGACAAATATGCAGCATTTTGGCAAAGAAAATGTACCATTGTGATAGACTTCAACACAAAAATGCTTCAAAACAGAAATAATGGAAGGGTGCTTCAAAAGCTTATGGTTCACGCTTATTCAACAACATTTATTCATTTTTTTGTTTTTGTTTTTTTCCCCAACAACCAAGTTTTACATTATAATTCACATTAAGATAAAAAAAAAAAAAAAACAGTGCAGATCCCCAAACTATACCTTTGAAACAGGGGTGTATAGATCTGTTGCATACATTTTAAGATTTGTGAAACATAATCTAAGCCATAGATCAAGTGATTCTCATGACGGTTTCACAAGTACAGCGTATTGAGATCCACTTCAGAAATCAGAGAAAAATCTAAAGAAAATAATGTAAACGTGCTTAAAGATATAAAAGTAGTACTTAAAAATGGAGGGGAAAAAAACGACTTTGCTCGTTGATGCTGTTTGTAAAATCATTACAGTCATTGATACCTAATTTTTCAAGCTCAACTAATACCTTAGGTCAGAGGTCAGGGATAAGCGGACCAGGCTCCGGATCTGGAACGACCTGCTGGCTAATTCGGACACAACTTGATTTAAAACATTTATAAATTACCGCATGCTATCTGCTTCTCCTTTGACCCCAAAAGCTCCGCTCTGCCCTGCAGAGCTCCAGACCTCCTGCGCAAAGCAAAGCCTACAGCCTCCGCTGTTCCTCCTGTATTGCTGCGCTCCAACTTATTCTCGGAACTCGAGGAGAGCATGCCCAACATTATCATTAAATTTGTGGGAGAAAAACATGCAGAAATGAAGGCTTAATAAAAAAAAAAAAATCTCCATCAGCATCCAGCATATGTGCGGTTTCTGATGGAGATGAGAAATCTGCTTCCTGGTCTGTTGAAGTACCAATAGTTTTCATCCAATCTTTGAGATAAACGGTGTTAGCTTTTTAAAGTATATAAGAATTTGCTCTAATTTGTAGTTACTGATCTGTTGTTACTATATTTTAATTCGACAAACCGGATCTTCTCACTGTTCTTTTTCCTGTTTGGTGCGATTGCAATAGCGGATCTTGACCTGGCCGGAGTGGAGCCTGAACATTTAGATTATGTTTGGCTCAACCTGCTGTTGTGAAGCAGGATTCTCCACCATGAAGCTAATCAAAAATTAATATTGATCCAGACTCAAAATGAGCACATTGATGTGTGCTTGAGAATGGCTTTGTCTCCATTCAAGCCCAGGTTTGAAGCCTTGCAGGGCAGCATAAAGCTTACTGCTCTCATTAAGATAGAAAAAAGAAAGAAAATAAACGGCTATTTAAGGTGTTTTATAAAACATGTGAATCAGGAAATTGTCTATATACCAAACTGAAAGATTGTTGTTCTCTACCTCAAAAAACACTTAAGATTTTAAAATGTTCTATTTTTCAATTTTTTAATTTACAAATTCAATGTATAACATGGATGCACAAACAGCTCATTTTATTTCAGCATTAAATTCTGTTTAAAGTAACAGATAACTAAAACTGTCTCTGGACCTTTACTGGTTGATGATTTTCTTTATTCGGCCCCTGCTGATTTTTAATTGGTTACCCCTGCCTTAGGTCATAATTTCTATCAGAACCAAATCATTCTATCAGATCGTAATTAAAGTCTAAACATATCAGTAAACAAAATCAAAACAGTTCACAGCATTTTACCCCCACTGCCTCAAACATGTAAATATCAGACTATATGTCAGATGTTTTCCCTGTCACTCAAAGAGAGACAAATACTTTCAACTGATCAACTGCTAATCCATAAATTACACCTGGTAAACACATTCAGACACGCTCCGTCACTATATGATGCATAAAGGTAATTAACATTTTCACCCAAACAAGTCAAATTATACTTATAACTAATTATAACGCAGTCTAATGTGACAAATGCCGGTACATATATTTAATTATGTCCGATAATACACGCTCAGTGCTGTTCAGCTTCCAGTATCTAGCTTCCTTAAAAATAAAGAAGACTTATTTGTAAACCCCAGTCTGGAACATAACGGGTCTAATTAAAGATAAGTTCAATGTGTACCGCTAATCATTAATGGTGTTATTTGTTCTGTGTGTAGCAGCTAAATGCTTGGCTCTTAAACTAATCTGTAAACTGATGTAGCTTTAGCTAATAAGCTAACTGGCACCGTTTCCATAAAAACAACGGCAGTTATCTAAAATTAAGGAGCATGTAACAACAAAGTGAGGGAGGCGTTAAAGATTGTTGAGGTAAATTTAATGAAAAATAATTATCACGACCTCCATTATTTATTTTGTTTTCTTTCAAATAAATTTTCTCCTTTCGTAGCTGTTTTTCTAACCTAGGACGAAGAGGGTCGATCGGCCTCGACGGGTTTTCTGTCTCTGAGCTAAACATTTGAAACAAAAATCAAAACACATTAACAGATACGCAAAACAATACAAAATAATCAATATTAAGTTACCTGAAGGGGTTCAGGAGAACCCTGGAGGCTACATTGCTCGCAGACAGACGACCTAAAGCAAAAAGTGACATTGAGGACGCCATGATTGTAGGCAACAATTAAGTACGGTGGCCACGAAAGACCAGTAAACCAAGAGTGAGAGGGTGAGATCATTTCTTTTTTTTTTTTCTTTTTCTTTTGCTATAAATGAATTTGTAATCGATTTTTAAAAACCAGGATTCCGAAAACAATTTCCAGGAACATCATTTTCTAATATAAACTAAAATAAAATGCATTTAAGTAGTTGTCTTATTTATTGTATTTCTGTCCAATAAGGTGTGCCTTCACCTTTTGCAATTTAGGAAATTCATCTATTACCAAAACAAAGTGACATAACTAGGCCTAAATCTACTTTTACAGAACATACAAAGCTAGGTATTTGTCAACAAAGAAAATTTAGCTGTTAAAACTTGAAGATACAGTATCTTTGATGTTGAAGAAATAGTTTTGCTTAACTTTTTTAATAATCATAGTTCATTAAGCTTGCACAAAATATTCTTAATACATTTTAATGGAAATCTTTTTTTTATTTCTGCTATACTGCATGATATTTAGTATTTTTGCAATTTGCAATGCATACAATACAATTTTTCAGATTTTAACTTAAATGACAAGCTTTGTAAGCTGTCGACGATTTTAAAACATAGGAAATTTTAACATTTTGTTAAAAGTGACTTTTAGGATGATATAAACAACCAAAAAAAAAAAAAGCAATTTTCTTATCGGTTCATGCTATTATCCAAGCCCCAGTTAGATGTTTATGTTGACCCTTTTTAGAAATTGAATGGTCACATGTTGCTGATAAATAAATACAAAAAACTCAGAAAAAAATATATAAGGAAAAGATTTTATTATTTCACTCTTCATATCTGTACAAATACCATCAAACTTTGTATGTACATATGACATTTACATAAAATACAAAACTATATATAATTATAACAGAATTTTGTATTTCTCTTGTGATATTTTAAAATAAAAAATGCAGTCAGAGAAAAAAAAAGAAGGAAAACAAATACTGTAAAGGAGTCTGATATAGAGAAGAATACTGTAGGAAAGGAATCCCTCTGTAGCTCTGTGAGACCAATACGGAGTATGTTGGCAAGAAGACAGTTTGAAAATGTTAATGGCACATTGTTTCTGGAGTGATCAAGTATCGCCTAGAGTCTTACCTAGGCTTCAATGCTGAGACGACATGAATGCGGTGGAAGAACGCTTTAAGGTTTAAAAAAAAAACATAATTAAACAAGAGAAGCCACAATGAAAATAATCTAAATGTGAGTGAAAAAACACAAATGGCTCTCTTTTTTTCTATTCCATTTCATTTCTGTGACAATTGTAATGATCAAACCAGTGAGAGAACCCCTTTGGTCAGATATCATAGCTGTAAACCAAAAAAAACAAAACATGTATGTATGTACAGTACATTTTATATATATATATGTACCCAATAAATAAACAAGCAGCCTAAACATGCATTTACGTTTATGTGACAAAAACATCTGTGATAGAGATTTGACAGAACAAGCAAGTTTTTTTTTTTACACAGCTTAGAGAATGCAATTTACAGCTTTCAGATGACTTATACTTACAGAGTAAAATGACAAATAAATAACACTGTTTTTCTTTGGACAGATATAATTCTTCATAGTAAAAAAAAAGAAAGTAAAATGACAACAAAAAAGGGGGGAATATATCACGATAAATGAAAGCCGGACAAGGTAAATGTATAAATTATAAAACACAAAAACAGTATAAATAAACATCTAGCAGACTGAACTATATGTATACTTCCTTTTTTTCTTTAAAAAATAAATAAGCATACACATAATGTACAGTATGGACATGATTTCTCGCTCCCCCCTCCCCCTTTATAGTGATGGGAGCTTATCCATCCAGTAGAGAAGATAAATGGACATAGGCCTTGTAGTCTGAGTCCCCATCTTCCTCCTCCTCCTGGTCTTCTGTAATGGCTAAATGGGAGAATACATGGTAGCTGTTGTATGAATATGGACTACAACAGCGCAGAATATCAGTGAATGTTAAAAAAAAATTTCAGAACGAAATGTCTTGCACTTCTTTTTCTTAATGTTTTTTTTTTAGATGTTTCTGTTAGAATGATCAGTTTTGTTAGAAAGAGTCTCCGTGACTTGGCTGCAAGAATCATCAATTATACAATGTCCATTTATATAACCAAGCATGTCAGCACCACAGTATAGGGAAGAAAGCTGGGATGGTGGGAAAAAGTTAAGGCTTGGATGGGAGGCTGGAAGTGGGGATCGCAAGGTGAGTTATACAGATATAAGGACACTGGGGCTGATGGTTCCAGTAGCTCAGTTTTTGGCAGAGTCCTGGAAGGCAAACAGACATAACACAAAAAAGTGTGCTCTTCTGCTCTCAAATTCGCTTTGCTTTTCCTCTAATTATAATGCCAGATAATGACCTAAGAGTCCAGGGTCATGGCCCACACATTAGATGTACCCTACACAGTTCTGAGGTATTTCCTTTTTCATTTTTCTATAGATGTACATCTTTTTTTCTTTAAAAAAACACTCAAATTAGCGCAAAAACAGCAATACAAAAAAAAGAAGGGTCTCTCATGATTTCAAAGTAGATTTAAAATATCTGATAACATTTTCATAAATTATAACAGTGCAGACAGTAAAAGCCATAAAAAAAAAAGAGCTCATCCTGCTCACAGTAACAAACCACATCTAGAATTAGTTCATGAGGTGATCGTAAAAGTGGCCACCAGTCTACGGCATACTTTAAAAACAGCTAAAATTGTTTGTTTTTTTTCAAGAAAAAGAAACTAATAGAAAAGTAATTCCCAAAAATGCAGAAAATGGAATGTTCATATTTCAGATATCTAAATATCCTAATGGTCCTCATTAAAGTTCCTTTTTTATGCAACACCACATGGCACCATTGTTACAATCACCTTATGCTTGCTGTACGCTATTATTTATATGATGTTCGATTGATTACAGCCAAAAGCAACAAGACGGAAAACAATTTTTTTTTTTTAAATTAAGCAAAAGTAAGAGAGGAATTTACAAACTGTGCGAATGTGATCTGTATCAGGACATACTGCATGGGATTTAAGGCTTTCTGCTTCAGCAGGTGACTATGACGCTATTTAGTTTTAAGTTTCAGGATATTCTTGAGTGGCCCCCAGATTTTAAGGACCCTAAACAGATTATGAATTGGGAGACTAATTAAATCTAAGACCATCATACAACAGCCATTATATACTGTATGTGGTATACTTTTATGTTAGATGTTCTATGTCAAAATGAATGCTTCTGAAAGAGCTTGCGAAAGCCTTTGCACTGATATCAGCATCATGTATTTAGGCTAAAACTTAAGAAAGTTGCAGCATTTTAGAATCTTTAAACTCCACTGGTTGTCAAACTTACAGCTGAGACATAGCTGAGTTTACTCTTAGGTCATTTTTAAGTCCAAATTATAAACTTTAAAATAAATTTAAGATTTCTCTGGGCCCCCCTTTTGGCCTGGCTGTCTAGAGCAGGAATTTCGACCCTTTAGGTTTTTCACCACATTCACGAGGAAACTTTTAGTATTTGAGATTTTTTTAAATGGCAATTTTTCCTCCAAAAGGGTGTTAGTAATAACTGATGTAGGACTACATCGTTCAGTCACTTATTTGAAACTTAAAACTAACCTGTTCTTCACAACATAGTATTTCAAAAATTCAGTAAAAAATATCAAGAACACAAGACCAAAAGCCAGCGACAAAGACAACAGTTATGCAAGTCCTTCCTTTTCCAATTCCTTTCTGCTTCCTAAAGCTGGAGTGATATAGCTGGTGAGGGAAATTTGAGAAGAGTTGGGATAAAGGAACACTTTCAAGGAGAGGGTTTGTGTTTTGGAAATACAGGGAATATTGTCTCTTGCTTGGACGGATGGGGGAGGATTTTAATTTCTCTTGTTTCATATTCTACTTTCCTCTTCTATTCTTACTTACAGTTGCAGAATCCTGTGTGTTTGACTTCCAGCAACACCCCCATAGAACAAGCAGCCTGCTTCATGGCACATTCACTGGGATATGTGGTGTTGTCGCTGGCGCACACCACCTCATCCGTCCTACTCTCTGGGCAGGACTCATTGCAGTTTGAGCAGCGACCCCGGCTCATCCGAGCATCCCACAGACACTTCTTTCCTGCACTGCACTGGATGTCCTCACACGACTTGGCCTCTGGATGGAGATAGGGAGAAATCAGCAACTACAGTTACCTCTATAGTTTTCTGCAAGAGGTAGCAAGATAGGGGGTAAAATTTTGAGCGGTGAATGAGTTCAGAACTAAATCAAAAACTCTCATAGAACTTTAGAAGATTTATTATGCTTCCATCACATTTGTGTGTAACATGATGTAAGTGGCCTGAGGGACATATTTAGAAAGCTCTCAAAGGGATTACCAAATAGAGCCATTTATAATCATGGGAAAAAACACAAAACCAACAGCCATAGCATGACTTCAGGAGTTTCACAATGCTGTTGTTCCCTCTAGGTGTGTTGGGTAAGTGGAGCCAGGAGTAAGACAGACATTTTAAACTTACGAATAGAATAAAAAAGTAAAAGAAAGAAATAAAGTAAATATTCTTCTAAATATATACTGTATATCTGCCACTCTAAAGTCTAACTCTGTTAAAGGGAAAATTTGATGTTACATGATATAAACATAAAATAGAGATAGTCTAATCAGGCTTGGCTTTGTTTTTTCTTTTTTTAAAGATTTCATTTGCTTTTAACACACAGTTCAGGAACATAGTAGGTTTCCACGAGAAAGCTACGCTTATTTAATCTAAAAGGAAAAGCAAAATTAGATGATAATTTGCAGATCAGTAATCTGAGCTGATTAATCCAGAAAAGTATCCAACTGATTGCACCCTCTCTTTAAAAAAATGTGGCAACTAATTGAATGTGTATCCATTTCCCTTTTCTTTTTAAAGTTATATTCATAAAATCTGATATAATATGAATAGGGAAAGCCATTCCCCCTAATTATGGATATCTCTAAAAAAGTGGAAATCTCTTATAACTTACTCAGAAAAGTTTTCAAGCAGGATTTTTTTTGTTTATTAAGAATGGAATAAAATCATAATCCAACCTTATAGGGCAAAATGTTATGAAGGGAACAGAAAATTGCTTTAAATGAGCCTTTTTCAGACTATAAGACTAAGACTGGCTGCTATCTGGATAGGAAATGATTTGGTTAAAATCTTGAAGTATGTCTTCATGGCCCCCAGCACTCTTCCTTCCTCCCCTCTCCTTCTTTCTCTCCCTTATGAGATGGAGTTGCCAACATCAGGAAATAATAAGATGTCTATCATTTGTTGAGCAAACACAAGCAACTACCAAACAGCTCCCCTTCCCTCCATCTAACCCCCTCTAAACTGGAATGTTGGCAGTAAAAATATGCAGTTGGAACAGAATAGTGCACTGAAAGCATGTTCAAAGTCAGAGACTGTGGAGGCGCAGTGAGGGTGTTAAGTCTCACGCTCTCACGTCTCCGGTTGCAGACTTACTGATGCATTTCCCGTCATACGCCAATCCGATTGACCTGCCCAGGAGACAGGTGGCCTTTCTCAGGTGACAGGCGCTGGCGTAGGTGATCCCGTCATTCCCACACAGGTAGTGCTGAGAAGAAGCCACATCAGGGCAAATCCGGTTACACGTCACACAGTACGCGTTGTTTGTCTGGTCCACAACACAGGTGGTGGTCCCTGGGCACATGACACCGAGGCAGGTTTCTGACGACACAAAGACGGGAAAAAGATGAGTCAGGAGAGGAGGAGACAGCTGTGATCTCTTTCAGACAGAGATGGATAAAAACAATATGAGACCCTTGACATAACTGGGACCCAGTAGCTACCATACATATTTTAAAATCAATGTGTGAGGAAAATAATAAATAACTGTGTTAACTGTATGAAAAAAAACCTGATTAACAATCACATGATTCAGTTTGAAGCATTTGTTGAATAAAAACAAGTTAAGATATCATGTTTAGGAAGGAGATAACTGTAAACAGAATGTTTTTTTTTCTTTAACTATTTATTTGGAAGTGTTCATTTTACAGGAATGTGATATTATTCATAAATGTATTTGGCCATTTCACCAGTATATGAACTAATTATACTATACTGTACTAATTATATTGAACTTTATTAAACTGACACTGGAGAAATTCTCCTCTGCATTTAACCCATTCCCTTGGGGAGCAGTGGGCTGCCATTGTGCGGCGCCCAGGGAGCAGTGTGGGGTTAAAGGAGTCAGAGTGGCAGTCTGTGGGAGTCGGGCTTGAACTCAGAACCTCCGGGACCCCAGCAAAATACTCTAACCATTATTCCATCGCTTCCCCTGAACTGAAACTGTATTTACTCAATAGGAAATGTGTCAAATGATTCCAATAAAAAATATCTACCATGAGGAAATTTCCCGGAGTGCTCAGTGAGATCAGAACAGCAATCACGGGGAATATGTTATAGTATAAAGTTTATAGATAATAAATGAATGGAATCACACAAGAGATTGGTTTTCATTAAGATTAATTCATGCAAATATTTCACTAAAACTACAAATAATGTTCAATGACACAATTCAAGTCAATGATTTATTAAAGGATACAAAATATAAGCAAAAACAGGAAAGAGAAAAACCCCAAAGAAAATACAAAATGGAGCAGTAAAGTTTTGTCAGTGTTGACTCCTACAGTTTAAGAAGAGAACTGCAGTGGGTGAGATTAAAAAAAAAAATAATTTTTTTTTTTTTTTTAACAATCTCATCAGTGACTCAAATAAATCTTAAAGTTTTCTCACATTTTGATCTATTTTGTTATTGGAAATGTTCTCAATGTTAACAGCTTTAAAGGTTTCTCAATTCAAAGATGGCATACCTATTAATATTTTTAATTTAGTGACCTTATTTCTTTTTAGGTAAAGATTGTCTGGTTGAGTTTTTTAATTTTAGTACGCTCACTGTGCATTTCAATAAAAAAACAATATTTTTTTATTTATCTATGGATCAAACCACAATAAACTGACTTGTGAGGATTTTTTAAATCAAAACCTAGAGAATAGGGGTGAGTCATCATAGAGCAGTAAAATAGTATGTATCATTAAGTGTCTAAAATCATTAGACACTTAATGATATTAAAAGTCAAAGTTTAAGTGGTTGTGCTTACAAGTAAGCTCTACAATCTGTCAGTAACCTGTTAGCAGCAGAAAAATGCAACCTTTTTAGATGCAAGCTCCATAAATGAACGTCCATTAATTTCTTAGGTAAATTCATATTTTATTACTTAATTGCATGACTGTAATTAATGTATATTTTGGTTATCCCTTGGTCAGGCCAGCAGCACCTCACCGCCACCAAAGGGTTTTCAAAAGGGCTTAACAGCTGGGGTTCTCTGATCATTTGGGGTGGAAAACCAAAACAAAAAAAACAATAAATTACTTATTTTTTTTTATTAAGCATAATTAGCAGCCATGCTGCTTATATTTTAAACCTTCTCATATTCTAGGGTGAATAGAAATTACATGGCCACTCTTTAGACAGGTTTTGTGATGGTTGGAGTATAGAGATTTAAACGAGTGATTTTAAATTATTTGAAACCTGTTCAAGAATATTTATGTTTAACTTACTTTTGCATTTTCCTTGGTACTGTATGTCTAGGTCGGGGTGGCCTTTGCATTTAGCCCTCAGGAGCGCGCATTCATCTTTGTAGGTCTTGCCGTCTGAGCCGCACACAGGTCCTTTCCAGGTGATGTTGGAGCAGTCTGGAGCGCAGACGCAGCGCGGCTTGCCCTTCCTGTTCATCTTGCATCTCTTTCCAGGTCCGCAGTCAACATTTTCGCAGCTTTCTGAAGAAAAAAGAAAAAAAAACACAACAATTGAGCGTTGGATTCTAGAGAGGGTTTGGCTGCAATATTTCGGTTGTAATATTTTACGCACACTATGCACCAAGATAACCTTCGTGCATGCATGCTTATAATAAGGGGGTAAAAACAGGGGAAATGAGTGCACCTCCACCTTTGCACGGTATGCAATTAGGAGCTCCGCCATTGAAGATCATCCACCTAAAGAGCGTGCTGTTGGGGACATCTTCCTCGGTCCAGGACGTCCCCAGTCTCCCGCTCCGGCAGCACTCCTCTCGGGTCATCTCGTGCATGTAGAGCACCTGGCACCTCCCGTTCTTCCCCTGCTGCAGCCAGCAGTTTCCAGCTGCAAAGAAAGATTCATTAATAGAAGGAATATCGCTGGTTGAGCTTCTAACCGCTGACCCAGACGCACCAGACACACTCAGACCGCATTATCCGAGACGCGCCCTCCCTCCTCTTTCGCCCTGCCGGCGCTATTTTGTCTGATTTTTTTTTTATTTCCCCCCCTTTTCTTGAAAGACTGTTAACACTTGTCTGTTCGAACTGTGACTGACAGCCTGTATAATGCAGCCACGAACCCCCCAAAAAGTGAGAATATTCTTTTAAGGGAGGGGAAGGTTTTTTTCTTTTATTCCCAGAGTCTCCTTGTTAACACTGGACAGAAACTGGAGCGTCTAGACGGTGAAAACCACAGTCTTTAGGTGTATAGGCTGTAACAAGACTGAACACAACATCGTCTACTATATTCTAGACATGCATATCCGCCAGACAGTGGCACGCTCATTCATAAAACACGGAGAAATATATTTCAAAGATTCATAATCGCAAATGTATCAGTGGTAAGGGAAAATAATTCATTTTGCCACGAGTGGAGCGTTTAAATCGAAGCAGACACGCATGACATTGTCTGTCTGGTGGGTATTTAATTCTAAAACCATCTTCTTTTCGATTTGTTTGCAAAATAACCCCCACAAAAATCAGGAAAAGTCTACTTTTCTATTTCTTTTGTCAGAAAAAAAAACTAAAAATACAGTTTGACGCACAGAACTGAAAGGGTGTGTGCAATAAATAAATAAACAAATAAAACCTCACCCATTAACTCCCTCTGGAGAAGATCGAGTTAATAGGTGAGTTTACTGGATGAAGGAGAAAATTACAAAAACACAATGTTCACAAAAAATATGTATTTTAAATGCATTTAGATTAGATTTGGCTTGAAGCGCGCATCTGCGTGCACGGATAGGGCTGCAAAACTTGAAATTTCTATCTTTGAAATGTCCCACACCATAACACCTGTTTTATATAGGCCATATGCATGCGACGTCTGACAGAGATGGGCATTTATCTATACAGAAGGAAAGGAGAACTCTCTGAAAAGTTTCCAATTATCAGACAACCGCGCGTTTTTGCGCATGACAGCAAAGTTTAGAGGAGGAAATAAAGAAATAGAAAAAGCTTACCTTGAACTTTTTGATCTTCCATAAGATGGCACAGCCATAAGAAGAAGAAAAGAACACCCGGGTGAAGGTGGTGCTGGAGCATCCCAAACATGATGGATAGGCAAAGTGAAGCAAGTATATTTGACACAGGCGAGCGCAAAAGTAATCTGCTTAAGGTGGCAGTGTTGAATAAGTGTCAGTCTGAGAATGCAGCCTCTCTTTTTAAATCTATAAGGGGTCTCGGGTTGACTGTCTCTGGTGGGCGGTCTCCTCTTCTGTGGGGGTGGGGAGATTTTTTTTTTTTTTTTCTTACCAAAGTTCTTTCAATCCCAATCAGGTGACACACGAGTAAACTTTCTCTTCCTGTGAGAACAGAAGAACACGGAAATGTACTATGGAAAACGGAACAGGATGGAGGCAGATTTGCTGGGAAATTTAAGATGCCAGCCAAAATATATGGATAAGAATTTGGATGAAGTGCATTGCATTTATTAAAATCTCTGTATTTTCTTCTTAAGTATAGATAATTATTGATTTGATACTAATTTATAGCCAGTATTCTACAATAATAATAATAATGATTTATTATTGCATAAAATAAATCATAATAATAATAATAATAAATTATTAATAATAAATTATATATTAATATATATTATTGCTTTAAAATGAAATAGGCCAAGAAGTTATACAGGGTCACACTATATTATCATATTTTAAATCCATCACTTGGAGAAAACTGATATTTCTATCCTTCAGCTGCGGTCAGTGAAGTGCAAATCTTATGGTGAGCGTTGCCTTCAGTAGCACATCCGATCCTCGGACAATAATAGACCTCATAGTAGTCTGCAACCAGCCGCGCTGCTAATATTAGATCAGACAGTTGTTTGGGTTTCTCTCCCGGGTCAAACTTTTAAATACAATCAAACCTGTTTCCGAGGAAGGCATCAGACGGAGGAGAACAGGGGTGTTGCATTTCACTGAATGAAGCTCACACACAGACAGGTCTCCACTCACACGGACGCACACACACACACTGTACCCCTTCAGAAAGTCCTTGCGCGACCTCTTCAGCGGAATCCTGGTCACAGCTCTCATGCGTAAAGAGCGCAGCGAGAACCAGACATCGGGGAGTTTATTATCTGGGTGTTTAACCAGCAGTCAGGTAGAGGACAGTGTGATCATACTCCATGTCAGCACTGCAAGATGTCAAGTGTCTCTCTCTCTCTCTTTTTTATTTTTTTTGGAAATATTCACACAAACCCAACAAAAACACTGTCCAGATTCCATTCTTTTACAAATGTTTAGTAGTGTTGCATTTTTCAATTATTCATTTGTTTCATTCAATTATATTTACCACTAATTTTATTTGCTCTTCTTTTTAATAGGCGTGCACAGATTTCAGTCAGTTCTTCTAGTTCTGAACCCTGCTATTTAGGGTGGGCTTAAAACTTTCCTTTTTGATAAAGCTGATAGTTAGAGTGGCTCAGGTTATCCTGAGCTATCTCTATAGTTATGCTGCTATAGGCTTAGACTGCTGGAGGACATAGGGACCCCTATTTCCATCATTCTGCTTCTTTCTATCAGTCTTCTCCCACTCTGCAGAATCTTTTAGTTCAATCTCCAATGTTATGCTCTCTCTGCTTTTTCTCATAGTAGCTACATCTGGTCTGTCCCCTTTGGCTGCGACACCATCCTGGAGAGAAATATGAGCTGTGCTGCTGCCATCAACACCTTTGTTTATAGATGTTGGAGATCGGCCTGTTTTTAGGTGTTGTCCTGTTTCTCTGACTGTGACTGGCTGGATGTGCTCTCTTCCTCCTCCAACATGGGAGCTGGCTCGGAACTTGTCTGCCTGCCTGTGCGTTTCCTGGACAGAGCTGGTTAACAGTTGCCTTTTGTATCTCTGCTTCTGTCTCCTTGAACCCCAGTCGGCCTCGGCAGATGGCCGCTCACACTGAGTCTGTTTCTGCTGGAGGTTTCTTCCTGTAAAAAGGGAGTTTTTCCTCTCCACTGTCGCTACAAGCATGCTTAGTGTGAGGGATTGCATTTGAGTTAACAAGTCTATGTGAGCAACTGGTTTTCCTTAGATAGAAAATTTTGAATCAATTTGACTGGATGATATGGTTGAATTGTAAAGTGCCTTGAGATGTATTGTGAACTGGCGCTATATAAATAAAGGCAGCTTAGTGGAGCAGTGGGTAGCACTGCCGCCTTGCAGCAAGAAGGCCCGGCCCAGTATTAGGGTCTTTCTGCAGTTTGCATGTTCTTCCTGAGCATATGTAGGTTCTCTCCGGGTACTCCGGCTTCCTCCCACAGTCCAAACTGACTGTTAGGTTTTCTCTGTTTGTCTCTGTGTTTCCCTGCAATGGAGTGGCGACCTGTCCAGGTTGTACCTGACCAGCACCCCTCAAAACCCTACTTGGGATAAGAGTGACAGAAAATGGATGGATGAATAAATAAACTGAATTGAATTGAAATCTGGTTCAAACTCATACTGTGACTTTTAAAAGTAAATATGAGTGTCTTACATGATCCCTTTGCTATCTACACAATCTACACAATCATGTTAAATAATGGAAAATAAAGAAGAGAAAAAGTGCTACAAGGCGATTCAATCAACTGGATGGTTACATTAAACCATGCAGTAAAATGTGCAGAACGAATGGATAAATACTGAATAAAAGCACTTTTAATTGGAAATGTTTTGACAACCCCAGAACAAGCTGATTCTAGAGCAGATCATGCATGGCAAATAGACTTCATTGTTGGGAGCAGAGTAGGCTGTAGGCTAGTCAGCAAAGGTGTGTAACCCTAACAGACCAACAAGCTTATTTAAAACAATAGGTCTCCAGGCAATGACCAAAAGTTAATGTCTATGCCAAAATTATAATTCCTTTTCGTATATAAGCTTACTTTATATCAGGTGTTAAATTTGGAGGTCGAGCTTGTGCACAGTAAGTGGTAAATAGTCACTGGAAGTACTGGGCTTTTAAGATTCATGTAAAAAAAAAAAATTGGTTTAGAAAAGATTGTCTTCTGCCAGGGGTTCATATCTTTAAATTGCTTTAATTATGAGTTTCATTTATTTAATTAGACTTTAAAATACCAGAATTTTGACTGTTCTTAGTGAATAATCCTAAAAATACAATGTCATGAGTTACTCAGCACCTGAGTAACCTTTTTTACCAAATACTTTTTTTTTAACTCTTGGATTTTCCTTCTGATGATTTAGCAGTGCTACTCTTACTTGTGTCAAATTTTTGGATACTCTACCTACCTCTGCTGGTCAGAAAGGTGTACATCTAACAGGTAGGATGGTTTTGGGATATTTTGTGCTTTGAATGCAATAAGAAAAATTTGGTAATAAATTTAAAGAGTATCAAGGGTAGGCAAAAAAATAAGAAGAGAAATGTGATGCTTTTCACGGGTCAGAACCCCTTAGTGCACTATCCTGGATGAACATGAATTCAATATCCAAAACTCAAATGCAACAGAATAGTCTGCATGCCACATTTAATGGAAGATGCACAACATTTTTAAGTAATTTTACAGGTGAAAGGCGGACCGTTTTAAAGAAAGGTCTTTGTCAAGAGTGTCCCCCAAGAATCTGGCACTGCTATCAAAAATGTTAAGGCTGCCTAACTTAGATTTAGTGGACTTGCACTTGGATTTATTGTGGGTGATACCACTGAGGCTTACAGCAACAGGATTAGCTTAAATCTAAATTATTACAAGTTATTTGAAGCTTGTTTTTCTTTTATGTCATGTCCCTCTAAAAGCCTGTTTGTCACCTTTTTCCCATTCCCCGACTACAGATTTTTGAATCTTTACTGGTTTTAGCAGATGTATTGAACATTCAGATATGGTAAAACTACTACTGTGATTGGTGATTCAGTTTCCACTCCTTTCAATAGTGCAGGTGACCACATAATCTCTGTATAACTGATCCTTTCTGTTTGCCTACAAGAAGCCAATGTTTAATGTTTTGCTTTGACCATCAATCAAATGTGAAGAAAATTCAGTTGTTAAGAAAGATTTACAACAACACTGAGAGGATAACAGCTTTAAATTTAGTAGTTCAATAGTTCATCAGAACTTTTAACCTTCATCAGTGGTAGCGTTCTGGTTTGGGTTTCTTCTTGTTAAAGAGGAGTTTGTCTTTCCACCTTTCCTGCAAAGTCAACACCACAATGCAAGAGCCTATCCACTCCCTGGATATGGTCATCTTGAAAGGAAAATGCTGCAGGCCGACGACTCAATGCAATCTAATGGGTTTTACTGCAACAGAATTTTTTTTTAACAAATCTGCACAATAAACTAAAATTAACTACACTGTTTTAACTTGAACAGTTTGGAATTTATGCACTTGGACTCTTAGACTGAACTGACTTGGAAATACATAACCCATTTCAACCCATAAGGCCATTTCTCGTGTTCATTATCAGAATCTCTAAAAGAATTAGAGATTTTGATTATCTCTAAAAATCTTTTGATGAAGAAAAACTGATAGTCCTTTTTAAGGCATTTTGACATGTTTTTATCTATATTTGCTTCATGAAAGGGTTTTAAGTTTAAATGTGTGAATCTAGGTCCAGAAGTGTTGCACATATTTCATGCAAAGTGAGGGGCTCTTCACATTAATTTCAATATCAAGTAAAGAAGAACACTTGATTGCTCTCCAGGATTTTACTAATACCTTTAACCACAAGCACATAAGCAAGACTACTGTTGGGAATTATCTTGTTGAGGCACAGAGAGAGCTTATTTGATCAGCGTAGCTGTGGGAAGTAACTTTATTTCCTGCTGATTTACTTGAATGGAATCATGGAAATAGAGAATAACACTTGGCCTAGAGATTAAAACCTAGAGGAGCATAATCACTGACTCAGCTGAATTTGGTTGATCCTTAATAGTAGTAAAAAATAGCATCATAAACAACTATGAAGAAAATGTGTTTATTGTAAAAAGAAAAGCCCAAATATTTACATTAATATTCCCTGTTGACGAAGACCCATTTATCCTTTATCCTGATTTTTACAGGTGGATCTTTTCTACAGACGGACACAATATTAACTTATGCCTGTTTAGAGGAGCACAGGAGAAACTAAGAAGCAATACTAATGCTTAATGACATATTAATATAAAAGGTTGTAGCAGTAATAGAAATCTAAAAAAAAAAAAAAACAAAACAACCCAACACATATTTTGGCTG